GGTTGTGTTTTAGAAGAGGAAACTTCTTGTTGCAGATTTTATCTGCAAAGCCTGGGAGAGTTCTGTGAGAGAAGCAAGCAACTTTGTGAAGTTCAAAAATGGTAAACCCCTGCAATTAGATTTCTGGTGTCTTATAAACCCATGAGGGTTGGGCTTTTGTGTGCATGATACATAAATAAATACAATCAATCATATAGAATATATATACATGTTACAATATCAGGATGTCATAACTATGACATTCTGAGCTGACACGGATGCACTTAAAATGTGAGCCGGTTCGGAGAGGTTTTAAAATAATCTCAGTAATCCAAAGTGTCTGATGTACATGTTTCCATAACATGTGGAGTTTAGCTGATTATTGCTTAAAACAATAACATTTTCATTCCTGTTCAATGTTTAAAAAGACTTCTGAGAGAGAGCGAGAGCTCCAATGGACGAGCAACACTGAGCGTGCCACTGCACATGAAGTTTTTTGTTTCTTGTTCTTCCTGTTCCTTGCACAATGGCACGCTCAGTCAGTCGCTCGTCCATACGATCTCTCACTCCCTCCCTCTCTCAACGTTATAAAGGGAATAATCAACCCAACACATTCTGGGGAAATATTTATGCTGCTATCTCTGACAGGATGCTCAGACAGCTTTGATAGTTTAATGTTAACACCTCTCCAATACGCCTCAATGTGTGCGTAAAGATGGGAAATCCCTCACAGTAGTATTTAGGTTGTAATTGAAAATGTAGTTATGTAAACTGGGCTCATGATTTTCTTATTAGAATGTACAGCAGCCTTGAATAGCCTTAGATTGCTCATAAGTAGCATGTGATCAGAAAAGACCACTACTCCAACAGACGACCATAAAGCAGATGTAAAGTACGGTATAAAAAAATGTGAACCAGATAGAATAACTCACACAGAATCCCGCCGCTCTGTACAATTGTTTATTTTTGATTTGCAAAATATTTGACAAAAATAACATAACATAAACACCAATTTATAATAGAAAAAAGAAGATCTTTGAAAAAAAATGAGACAAAGGATAAATTGCAATTACACTAGAATTTAAGTGACTTGAACTTTTTATTGATAATTGAAGCCATATCATGCTGACCAACACAGGCAGTGTATGGCTAGACGATTCATAAGTATGCACGTGTTACAAACATTACATTAAGTGCTTTTTGTTGGTTCAGGCATTTTTAATTGATTCAATTTGGGTACACAATGCAGGGTAAGAATTCAACACCTAATTCAGAATTTAATCCTCAAACACGGTCAAAACATACAGCTGACCGAGTCCCAAAGTTGGAGACTAATCTCACACTCGTCAGCATGTGAAGCCAGCTTCATCAACACCCTCCCCCTGCATTGAAAAGGGTTGAACTATGGCACACAGCTCAGGGTAGATGTGACCATGTCCACATTGTTCCTCAGTATTCACTGATCAATAAAAACCTCTCTTATTTCATTCAGTGTTTACCTGAAGCAGTTTGACATGAATAAAAAAAAAAAAAAAACTTGGTTTCAATTCACCAAAGTGAGTAGTTGCTCTGTTAATATGATACTAGGATTTGAAGGGAAAGTTTATTCCCCCAATAAGCGCCACTAAGTCGTGTGCGTTTAAAAGACACAAGCTTTACAATGAGGCTTGTCGCACCGCCTGGGGCTGACATTTTGGACGATGCCTGCATTATTACGTTGTATCGATTACACACGACTTGGTGGCGCTCAAGATAAAAAAGCAGCATTGCATGGATACTGAGGATTTCACTTCTCCTATATTAGACCAAACATCGGCAGGGAATAATGAAGGTGCAAGAGCAGACTTTAGGACAGAAGGAGAGGTGAAGACAAAGGACGGGTAATGAGGAGGAAGAAAGGACTTGGAAAAGTAGCAATGAAAAAAGGTAAGGATGGCGTACTACAAAGCAAATACCATGCTGTCAGTACCAAGCGGAGCCCAAACACAACTCTCCTTTCTCCTACTGCCGCAAAGTCTTTCAGGCTGTTCCTTCTTTAAAGCTACATTCACTCCACAGAATCCTCCTCTTCGGTTTGCTCTGAGGGACTTTAAAGATAAGTTTCAGCCAAATAGCAACAAGATTTGATGCATATGTTGCTATAAGTATCGAAAAACGTCCCGTAAACAGAACAACGGATGCAGAAAAGGAGGTACTTTGTGTTGAGTTAATGCAGCCCCTCCCTCGCCAGTCTGAGCCCCCTGTTGGTCAGAGTGCAGGCACTGTATTAAAAACACTCCAGGTACTTTGTGCGTTAAAAAAAGGCAATGCTAAGTCTGAGAAGAAAAAAAATAAAACTGTACAAAAAAATAAAAATAACTATGAATGACTTCATTAGCTGGAGTCTCCCAAATCTGTGAGATATCTCTGAGGTAATCATACAAGTATGACTCATTAGACAGCAATAAATACCAACATGAATACAAATATTACAAAAGTAAAAACAGAGGCAAATGCTTAATGCTAAAGCAAAAATCTGAGCTAAAAGAGGTAGGTTTTTTAGGTAGATTATGGTGTACATCCATTGTGGACACTCCTTTTATAAGAACTACATTAAGTTGATTCCATTACAATCCCTGTCCTAATGGGAAGAACAAAAAGAAAACAAAATCATAAAATACAGACTTGAAAGCCTTTGCGTGGGAGATGGCCTACTGTTTTCTAAGGATGAGAATATCTTACATGTTTGTACAGACAGGATTTGTATTGGCAACAGTTATAGAAAAATCTTCAAAAATGTCTAAAATGATATCCTGTAAAGCTTGCTGGTGATAGTGTACCATAAGTTTCATATTGCAGGCATTGTTATCGTGTGTTGTGTTTCAAATGATAAGGAAATCTCTCCAACGATGGATCCATGTTACATGTGGTAGATCTCCTTTGATGCATGGTTTTTCAAGTTCCAGTATTTTACCAACCACAATGCAGAGTTCAAAACTTACGGATTCTGAGCAGCCCACTGTGGTGAAACCAAACAGGAATCTCGAGTGATGCCCCATATTCAGATTGAACTGTAACATGTAACTTGCATGTTATGTACAGTTGCAGGTGGGAAATAAGGGTAACAACAAATATACTTATTCTCATATTTAGTCATAAAAGGGAAACAGGGGGTTCCCCTTTTACGAGAAAAACTGATCAGTGGCCACATGATGCATCCTCAAGACTTTTCCTGTTCAGTTTTCAAATTCCCCAGAGCAACTCCTCTTTTACCCTGTTCTCGTGTAGAGGGAACTCTCCCCGTGGCACTTACAAGTTCACCAAACTTCCCCACACTGTATTTTACATACACACACATCAACACCAAATCTCTCTCATGAACAAAAAAAAAATAAGATTCCCATTTCTACATACTGAAGTATGTATTCAGAGAAAAATCGTCATGGAGACTTTTCAAAACTTCAAAAGTCAGTGTTCAGTAACCAAGCACATCATACCCCTCATCATACTGACATACTACACACAAGAGTGGTACTGCCTAAAGACACTTGAGCCTCAACTTCTTGAAGTCCAATAACAGAAGGGGCATTTGTGGGACACTTGGTATTACAAATATACACTAGATAATTCCCATGATTTTCATAGGACAACTCGTCATCATAAATGTTTAAAAACTCCAAAAAGTACTTTGCTATCTGTGCTATGCAGATTATATACGTCGTGTATATCCCGACCGAAAGCATGCACACAGTCACAGTGACAGAAGAAGTGTTGGAATAAAGCCACAGTGACAACGATTTGACTAAATATTTCATAGAGGTTTAAAATAAACCCTAATCGCCCAAACATATTAAAGCATCAACTTTACCAACTCTTTACAAATCAGCTCATCAACTAACACATGCTCTCTCCGACCATCTCTCTCCAAGATGCCACACTAACACCGGCCTACTGAGATGTTGGAGGCTTGAAGTCTACAACATAAGAGCCGTAATGGTCGATCACAGGAAACCCTTTTGTGTCTTCTTTCACAGCAAATAGAAGACAAAAACCAATTGAATCATCTTTCTGAATGATTTCATTGTAACCAAGTTGGCTCTGGTTACATCACATGAAGTCATCAGGAAGTTGACTTAACACTTAATTCAGTTAATGTCTTGATATAAAAGACAGGTCATGTCAAATCTTGAAACCATAATCCCACATGCATCACTGACCTCTAGACACAAGCTTTTTTTATTATCTTGGCAGTTTGGTTTGTAAGCCATTAGATGCTGTCTGAGCAGAAGCCTAAGATGGTGGCAGTAAAAGGCATGAGGTCCAATCATGTACAAGCTTATCTCTGAGAAGCCACGGTTAAATAGCATATGACGTTTTAAAATGAGAATACCCATGGCTCTGGATATTCTGTAATGCATTACTGGTAGGTGTGTTACTAGCTTGGTGATCTGTATGGCTTATATTAGAGAGCAGAGCAGCATGGTAAGTTTAGCTTGTCCTCTTTCTCAGAGTGAACATGAAAAATTAGGGCAAATACATCAACCCAACCACTAAACAAATAATCTGACTGAGTAAAATACACAAGTGATCCCTGTTCAGGCCAGTCCTCACTCATTCTTACCAGAAGTAATGTGATCAAAGTCAAACAAAGAGCATAGTGTATCAGAACGTAGTGATAATGACTCAAAACCAAAAAAGGGTCTATATTGAATTTGCATATATATTTCAGAAAAATGTGTCTTGAGAAATATCTATGTAGCCCTATGTACAGCGACAGCCATATTACACAGCCATATTACACACACATATACATATATATATATACATACATATACACACATATATATATATATATATATACACATATATATACATATACATATATACATACATATATATATATATGCATACATATATATATATATATATATATACATACATATACATATATATATATACACATATACATATATATATATATATACATACATATACATATATATATACACATATACATATATATATATATATATATACCTGGTATTTACACAATGCAGCCACTAGAGGGCTGCGCAGCATACATCATCAAACAGGACGGGCCTGGGTGGTGAGGTGCACACCATCAACACAATCAGGCCCTCTGACATTCTAGAGGATCCACATCCCTGTCAGAAATGAAAGGGTGTGATATCTATGGAGGTCTGAAGCAGCTTCCGAAGCTCTCTGCCCATCGAGCTCACGGTGTACTGAGGAGGAACAATTCATGGAATTGTTTTTAAAAGTGAAATGACCAATAAAACAACCAAAAAAAAAATAAGCATCCGTTGAAATTACATCCATAGCTATGCCAATTCCAAGTATGGTATGCAGCTATATATAAACAAGACCGGCCCCTTGCTTTGGCCTTCATTTACTATTCCAGTTAGATTTGGCAACTTAGCCCTTTAAAAATCTGTGATAATATAGATACTGTATAACAATACATAGGCTTGAGTAAAGGTGGTATAACAGTGCTTAGGATACATGTGGTAGTAATTAACTATTTACAAGGAAATAAACAATACCAGAGAAGAATGAAAAAATAATTTCCATAAGAGAGGAACAAGCCATAATGCAGGCTTGGTTTGATTGACAGTTAGCAGAGTAAAAAGTAGCTAACACATTTAGTGGCTAATTCTCACCTCAAAACCATACACCCCAAGTCCTGTCAAAAAACCTCACTAAATTACAGACTAAGTTCTGCACTCTGCAGTTATCCTATATTATGACATTTTCCTTCATTGGCTGCGAGGCCAGTAGCATAACTTGTTCCCATGCCGAATGGCTGCATGGGTGAAACGAGCCATGGAGCAGCAGCAAGGTTATTTTTAGGTACTGAAAGCTTATTGAGAAAGTAGTAGACCATACCTTTGGTGAAAAGTGAAAGGCATGCGTTTGATTTGTATACACAGTCATATATATATATATATATATATATATTTATATATGCTGCTTTGGAGAGAAGCAGATGAAAACAAACCAAACAAAGGAATCACAAATATCATAAAAAGTCAGGTACACTGAAAAGTTGTCCGTACTGTATCTAAGTTCCATCCGTCCATTATTTATACCGTTTATCCTGTTTGGGGTCGCAAGGGGGCCGGAGTCGATTCCCACCTGTCACTAGGCGAGAAGCGGGGGTACACCCTGGACTGGTCGCCAGTCAATCACAGGGCCAACATACAGACTAAAACAACCAGGCACGCTCACATGCACACTTAAGGGCAATGTTAAGAGTCACCAATCAACCTAACAAGCATGTCTTTGGACTGTGGGAGGAAGCCGGAGTACCCGGTCGGAATCCACACATGCAGAGGGAGAACATGCAAACTCCACACAGAGAGGCCCTGTCCCTGTCCCAACCATGAACCTTCTTGCTTTGAGGCGAGAGCGCTAACCACTGCACCACCGTGCAACCCCACTGTATCTAAATTGTCCTGTGTTAAAGTTACAGTTTCACATGGGTGATGTAAGTATAAAACAACCCCAGTAAAACCAAGAGGTAGCTCAACTGAATAGCAAAATGAATAATTGAGTGTGTTTGTTGTGTTGGTGTGTGCATTTCACATGCACACAGAAAATGTCCTGGCATCTGAAGCAGCTGTTGGTTGATTTAAATACAGACAAAAACACTGTACGTAGAGAGAAGTTGTATGTATAGTTGAATTTGTATTTCATGAAGTCTCCGGTTTACTGTGTCTCTAAACATCTGCTTTCTCTCCATACAACCTTGATGCCGAGACAGCCTCAATTAAACGAGACACACGCACACAAATACGCACGCACACATCACTTTCTCTCTTCCACTCACTTCAATCTCCACAACTCCAATTTGGTCCATCCAGCACATCCTCAACTCTCTCCTTTCGTTCAATTCCACCAGGGATCTCGTCTCCCGCTGCATCTCTACCACCGAGCATTTAGGAGACTTCACTGCCGAACACCTCCAACACCAGCGGGGTCAGCTGCATGCTGTGCTCCGGCTGAAAGGAGAGCGAGCGGTACTGTTTGGAGTGCTCCTCGTTGAGGCTGCGCAGGTCGGCCAGCTTCTGGATCATCTTGGCATACAGCAGCCGACCTCCCGGGTGGTGAAGCTGGATGTAGGCCTGCAGGGTCTCCGACAGTCGGTCTTGGAGGACTTCGACCTGCGCGTGATCCTGAACACCTGGGCGATCTACATGGAAGGAGAGAAGAGGGGAGTCTTCAGATATTTATGGTGGTTACACTGAAAAGAGAGGTGGAAACCTTCACTGTTTACTGTTGTTTACTTGTTAATCCACAACAAAATGTATGACCTACATGTGCGGTTGCATTTCTACCGTTTGGGTCAAGTCATACTAATTTTAGATCATGGAGCTCACATCCATGCATTGTTAATGAGCTTCCTAATGTATACAAAGGAATGCAAATCTCCACTTAGTTACACATGCTTGCTTGCTTACATAACAACATGTATAATATATGGAATGTATATGCAGCAATCTATAACATAAACACAAATGTGTATTCAGAAAGAGGCATGAAACTCTTAAAAGTAGCTGAGATCTGCTCCTCCCTGTGTTTTATGTTGAGTGACAGATGACAACAAGTCCTCAAATAATCTCCAACAAGGACTAAAAAAAGGAAATGACACTACTATTTCTGTTGAAAAATTGATATAAGAAGATAACACATTAAGAATTCATGCTGCTGACCCCTCTATATGTTCCCTTCAGCGAACACTCAGACCTACAGTACCTGGAGACAGCAGGCAGATGGCCATCAGCAGCACATGTTCCTCCTCCTGCAGGTTTAGCTTCTTCAGACCGACCTGGAACTTCACCAAGGGCTCCAGCAGTTCCAGAGTGTGGCCCGCTAAAAAAGTACGCAAACACATCATGACTGTCCGTGCAGCAAACAGAATCAGCTTCATACTATATATCACAGGAGAAAGGCCCTCTGGGGAACGTTAGCATCCCTCTGACTCATTAATATTTCACTCTGCCTGTTAAGAGTCATCTCTGGAGAGGACTTCTTCCTACATGTGTTGTGCGTTATCTAGATTTTTGTCACTAAGAACTAATGGCTGTGAATGCTTTTTAATCAGCAAATTTGAATTCAAGTCGGTGTTTACTCAGTTTCTCATGGCGGAGATGTTGTTTTTTTATGTAGAGTTGTTAATGAGACACCATACAAATGCATATTCCCTATTTAATTCTAATTGAATAGTAAGTCCTTGTATTCAAATTTTAGTCTTGACCTAATTTCGTTAAACACTGATGTGTTTTGTAAATCTCGTTTTTGAAAAAGCTGAGTATAAAAAAACTGTTTTAGTGTTGAAAATGATTCCTTTAATTTTTTTAAAGGAAATGCTCATTTTTATGATACACAGCAGAAACGTTAACAGCAAACATATCTTGTGAATGAAGTGCTAATGTTAAACAATTTGCAGAAAAGATTTTCATGGCTTTTTTTTTTTTTTTTTTCAATCTTGGTGTAGACTTACATAAGAAAAGACATAAATCAACAGTATATTTTGGTCATGTTCATGTGGACTATTCAGGGATATTTTAAGAAAAGCACAAATTCTTGTAAGGAACGCACACTTCTCCCTGGTGCAGACAGTGGTTGTTTTGTGCGGTGAGCAGGTCAGGAGTAACATTCTTTGGTTGATCCCCGTCAGAGGGGTCTTGTTTGAAAGGCAAATGAAAGCCATGCCCATAGGGGCCTCTGCGGATATGTAAGACTGGTTTAGCAGAAAAACGTGCATTAGCATATTTTTTTTTCCTATGGGTGTGAGCACAGGCCACTACAAGTAATCTTATCTGCTCTCCCCCACTAATGATCTGGTCGCCTCCTCAACGCCACGCTGCTTCCTGCGAGCTCTGAGCGGGAGTGTTAATGTGTAACATGCGCCTCTTTTCTTCAGCTGTCGGAGGGGCTAAACGAGAGGACTGGCATGCAAATTCATAGTCCAAAACGCTAGCTTGTCTTCACAGCAGTCTAAAAGTGTACACGTGGCAGAGTTCAGACCGACCTTTGGTGACATCACTGATCTGGTATTTAAAGTCAGGCCCGCCACAGCTCCAGGACATGTCCTCTAGGTTGAAGCTCTGATTTGAGCGCAGCATGATCACCTCTATGGCACTGGACTTGAGCAGGGCAATCTGGTCCTCTGCAGTCAGCTCCCTGTAGGGGAAAGATAACACCTACTGAGTTAGTGAACCACAAACAGTTAACTATTAAACCCGCGGTCCTCAGATAACCTCAACCACGCAGTGTTGATCATGTTTAGTTTTACAGAAGGCTGATACCACAACAGATAAACAAGTATGGATTGACAACAAGTTATGCCCGTTCTGCATGTTTTGGGGTCTGGAATATGTCAGGCTCTAGAGATGGAAAACTTTATTCAAAAGATTATGCTTATCATCGGTTTACAGGCTTCAGGTCCGAGGTCAGTCAGTGTCTTTAAACTTTATCTTCTATATGCTGTGGAGGAAGAAAAACATTACTCCCTGCTGTTGACTCATTTGAAGTCAAATTAAGGCTGTTTTATGTGCTGTTGCCGTCACAGACAAATCTTGCTTTAGGAAATGTCTTGAAAAGTCTTTAGACTTTTGGAAATGCAAACTACTAAACTAGCAGGAGACATGAGTTAAAACCTGCAGATCTGTAAGGGAGGTCTGCTTTGTTTTTCTGGCCTTAGGCAGCAGATTACAAGTGGACAAACATTCCATATGTAATCCGACCACGTCTATCACTCGCTGCCAGTGAGGACGACAACTTTCAGGAAATACAGGCCCTAACTCGTTTTAGCCCTGACTTTGAGGTGACCCCTGAGACACAGAGCGTTTTGTCCCTGTCAACGCACTGGCAGACAAACATGCTGAAATGCAACTGTTGCCATGTTGGGAAAGATGGGGGAAGAGAATAACAAAGCCGAGGCCAGCTATTGCTGTTTTGCCTTCACAGTCACAATGTCCTCTGTTAACTGTATTCCAAAGAAGTGTTTATTCTTCTTCCTGTCACTTAAGCATAAACCTTTTACCAATCCAACTTCTACACAAAACCCAGTCAATCCTGTAAAGTATCTGTTGTGTGTTCTAAACATGTTCTGATCATCAGGTAGTCAACCTGAGGGTGTACGTGAGAGGCAGACAGGTGAGTGCTCAGCAATAGAGGAGTGTCTTCCTCCCGAGTTTAGCAATCACCTACCAACGCACTTCACACCAACAACAGTAGCAAATGTGTAATCTCATCCAGTGAAGAAACAACCTAACATAAAAATATTGTCTACAATGTGTCAGCTATCTTTTCAGTTACCTATGGCCTTTAGACCATAGCAATCACTGTGGCACAATATCGACTAATAGGGCAGAAAAACAAGTAGGTGGACAAAGTCTTCAATGCACATTTAGGTAAAAAGTCACACAGAGACATTTCATTAACAAATACGTGTGGACAGTTCTGCATGTAAACTTTTGTTTAGTTAAGGGTCTTATTATGCCAGACTTCATGTCTTTGTTACATAAGCAGGTTTTTGTTTTTTTATCTGTACAGAAAATCAAAAACAGAAAGTCAGAATGTCCTCATTAAAGTCCAAACAACATAGAAGCTCAGAAAAAATAAACCCATTATCTCTTAATCTCTCTAGGATGGAAAACTAAAACTTTACCAGTTGAATTGTCCACACTATGTATGTTGTCTCTTTGTAGCAAATATAACTAATGTAGAGAGAGCGAGTTAAAAAGGAAAAGGCAGATAAAATGATTAATTCCAAACACAAAATACAATCACACAGACATACCTGAACCCCGGGATCATCTTTGCAAAGCCGATGACCTTCTGGATGCTATAGGAGACCAGGTCAGCAAGGTGGGGCAGCATGGAGAAGCTGGAGCCCTCCTCCTCGCTGGAGTCGGGGCTGCTGCCCTGCTCGTGGTACATCATCAGCAGGTTGTTGAAGTTCATTTTGTTGTCAACCGACTCTGCAGCGAGCAAGATGAAGGCGGCCAAGCAAGGGAGGAAGAGGAACGAGAAGAAAGTGGAAAAGCAGGGACAGAAAAGTGGTTATCCATAGAGCAAATCAATGTCACACTATTCTTACATGAGACACACTCTGTGCTGAAAGAACCGAAGAATTCAAGGCATATAGGCTTGTTGATGGAAAGGATCATCTGAAAATACACAAGTGTCGGGTCAGTAGGAGTTGGATGAAAGCTTAGATGACAGCTATGACAACATGTGAGGCATGCAGAGCTAGCTGGGGTTGTTTGGAGTCATTTGTCTCCTCTGAGTGTTGGCTATAAGCCATGTAACTGTGTCCCTCACTATGTTCCCTCCATTAGTGACAGATGCATTAATGAACTGGTGTTTACTAGTTGGAGTCAGGTGGTCCTGAGAGTGGAGGTGGGGAGGCCTTCCACAGGATTCTCAGTAAAGCAGTTTAGCAGATTACATAAGCAAACATTCAAACAGCTGAACTAGGAAAACAATAGCAGTCTTAAGTATTAACTTTATTGATACTGATAACCCTTCAACCCTTTACTTAAACATTGTGTTTCTTTAAAGTTATAGTTTTGGAAGGAAACTATTTTTCTTTTCTTTTTTAGATTCATTTCAGATGATCCTTACAAACAGAATATTCACTGTATTCCCATGTTTTTAAATGAGGTCCTCATAATGTGTATCTCTTACCTGGAGAGTGACTGAAGGAGTCAGAGGAGGCGTCAGACAGAGAGTGTAGGGACGCAGCTCTACTGGCGCTGCGTGTCACTGGGCCCTCGCGCACAGGAGGCTGCACGAGAGAAAAAGGGGTATTCATAAAGACACTGAAGGATTCCCAACATATTTTAAGTCAACAGAAATAATACATTCTTGTGTTTTTTATTCCCATTTGCATCCTGACAATTAAAAAATTCTTTTTGGCTATCTGCGTATTTCCTAGACCCAAACAGACGCAGCTCTTTGATGATATGTTACAATCAAAGATATATCTGCAACATACTGTTTTTCTGAACTGTATGAAATCTGCTTTAAATAACTTATAATGCAGTAAACAGTGATGAGGGATTTTTAAGAGTGTTATCTCATAAATTATTATCATAGCGCCCAATACTGTCACAGTATTGTCTTTGCCACATGTAGAACAGCAGACAGTCCACACTCAAACTGACTGACAATGAATAATAATGTAAAACATATTTAAATAATAATAAAAATAATAAAACATATTTCCTATTCTATTTTATATATAATTTTAACTTTTTTGTAGACGCTGACGCACAAAAATTCCAATGTAACTGTACTGTCCTGTACCTGTGCAAATGGCAATAAACATCTATTCTATTTAATTAAATAAGATATTCTTTTTTTAATGGAGCTTTCTGAGTATCTTTTGCAGAGTCATCAGTGCAAAAAAAACATCACAATCCTCATACATTTTTACATTTGGACTGTTAACTTTATTGGACACCATATCAATAATCCGTGAATTTGAAATATCAGTCTCTAAAATCTCAGCCCAGACAGGCCATGTATTTATGTCAAGTCAAATCATTTACAGTGTGGACAACATCACTACAAACTAGATATCTGAAAAGACAGGTGTGCACATAACAATTCCTGCACTCATTTGGAAACAATATCGACATTGTAATTGATGAGTTATATCTTGGGACTGCTGTCATGGCACATAATTGTTGATGCTAGTTGCACAGAGTAGGAACAGTTTAACCTTGATGTTAAATGAAGAATATTTGATGTATCCACATTCAGTTTGGCGTTTGTAGATTAATTCTACTAATGGGGAATGGTATAATGTATTGCATCATAAAACACAAACCCTGAAGCGGCAGAAGTCGGAGTAGGAGTCGTCGTATGTTTTGTGGTGCGCCTCCACTAGCGTGGAGATGACCTGACTCTGTTCGTCTGTGAGTCTGGGCCTCCGTGCCTCCCTCTCTGCTTCGCGCTGTGCCTCCTCGTCCTTCCTCCGTTGAATCAGGTCCTTCTTCCTCTGTACTTCCTCGTCTGTCAGAATGACTGAGGGTGCAAATAAAAGAAGACAAAAGAGGGGGAGAGAGTGTTACATTATATAAACACAAACAAGGGAAAAATAAACTGTGAACAGTGATTTTCTTTTTTTAACTCAAGCAGAAATGAGTTGGATTGAGAGCAGGAACACATGAAGGGTAACAATAAGAGCAAAGACATTTAAAATCCAAAATTACAGAAGAGAGGTTTTCAAGCTTTCCAGTATGTACTTGAGTTTCTCATTGTGATGACAGATATGTCAATGTGGGGTTGGTTGGGGGTGGTGGTGGGGTTGTTATTCCCTAGAGGAAGAGCATGGGAGGGGACGGGTCCATATGGAGACCCCTGCTGCACCGAACAACTGAAAGCATTGTTTTTGTTCTGTTTGCTCCTTGTTGTTCTAGCCACTGAATTAGCTCACAGAAAAGCAAGAGAGAGAAGACGGGGCTGCTGAGACTCAACAACATGTTGCTGTTTTTTGCAACGGCAACGCCACTGGCTCCTGTTCATGTACAGTAAATAGTGGTGCTGCTGCCACCTCCACTCTTGTGGTATTCCCAGAAAACACACTCCGGGGGAAAGAACATTCAGCTGGAAGTGAGAGGCCTTTGCTTAAAAGAGGCCTGTGGACAATATCCGGATATCGGGGGGAAAACAAGAAGAAATGTACCTGCTATTTAGAGAAGCAAAATAAACATGACTGTGTGCAGAGAGGAGGCCACACTAGATTGTACATAACAGCAGGTGTTTAAACTTCAGATGGAGTATACTTTCTGTATACAATGTGGGGAGGCTCTGTTAGTTCAAATAGAACATGTACACACACTAATGGGAGCAAAGAACCTGAGATCTTTGACCCAAGTCTAACTATTACATAATTGATAGAAAAGGGGACAGTAGGCCTCCAAAACTGCAAACAGCAATGTGTAAAGTTTACTGTCCATCAAAAAGAAAAAACAAAAACATTAGGATTTAAAGTTATTGAAGTTAGTCGAGTCTTGTATGCACTATTATACAAAAGGTCCATGGCAACATAAAAAAAATGACTATTTTTTTGTCATCCCTTTCAAGCACTATATAATAAAACCATCATTAATGAATAGTACGATGCACCTACGATTACCTGCAATCCTTTGTTCTGAAAACATACCAGTCACATGTCATACTTACACTCTTTCATCATGCCAATGTCCACACAGCGTTTGAGCCGGCATGCTTGGCAGTGGCGCCTGTTGTCCTTGGTGATAGTGCAACTGCCGTTAAAGGGACATGTGAAGGCCGCTTTGCGCTTCATACTGCGCCTAAATAGATTGCATAGATTTAAGTCTGTTAGAATATCAGGTTATAAAGACGCAAAAGACAAAGTTAAAGTAACCCCTCAAATGATTAAGAGTTTAGATAAGACTCTGCCGAAGGCTGAACATGCTTCTTATTTAGCTCTTTCTGCACATATAGCACCTGTTTTAAACCTCCAAGTGCTTTGTTAAAATTCAAAATCACAGTAGAACTAGAAACATGCGTTTTGCTTTTTAAGCCTGGGATTGTGTGAAACATTATAAATATGGATGAGTGCCAGGAATCTCTGGGTAAAACGTAAGTCTTGCCAAACAGTGACGCAAAGCATAATGATTTAGTCAGTGACGGACGTGTATGTACGAACAATTATACACAGATGTGAGCAAAAACACACAGAGAAGCATGCATGCTGAGAGTTCAAGCGAGGGCCAGCTGAGAGACGGGGAAGGAGATTATCAAACATCCGTCTTTTTCATCCTCTCCTTTAAATATCAACACTGCGGAGAGGAAAAGGCGAAAGACTGGCGGATACATCATGCACGCCAGGCTTTCTAGATCATGATTTGCTCTAGTTTTGTCTTCAGTTGAATTGGAAACTTATGTGTGTACGAATGAGCAGGAAGCAGCCATGGCATTAACTATAGGAGCAAGCTTATTTATATTCTCTATGTGCTGCTGGGCATTAGTGTTGTCAGCTGTTATGTGTATGTTCTTGTGTAACTGTAGGTGGTAATTACATTTAATGTGTGTGTGTGGGTGGCCATTATAAATATCTATGCAAGATCACATCTCTGTTTGTATGCTAACATTAACATGTGTCAATAACTTCATCAGTACGTATGTGTTTGTTTTCATTGTTCTGCTACACAAGACTGACTGTATACATTAGTAATGTAAATCTGTACCTTCTTTACAGTTTATCTTTGGTGTTACACATGCATTTGTGTACCTGAAAAAACCCTTGCAGCCTTCGCAGGTCATGGCGTTGAAGTGGAAACCAGTGGCTTTGTCACCACACACGCCACAGATCCTTGGCATGTTCCTATCAAACTCATCAGAGGCCAGAGTGGATGTGCTCACAACAGTTGTATCCATCACTGAACAAAGATGGGGAAAACAGAGGAAGAAAAGACAAGAGACAAAGACAGATGTTATCAGCTACCAGTTTCACAAGTTCTTACTTGTATAGATATTTAAACTGATATCAAATGAATGTTTTTACTGTTAAAACCCTTCACCAACATGCATACAAACAAACAAGTGCCCTGTACACAGTCCCACACCTGGAGGTGAATTTAACTCTAGTGTTTTTGTCCTGGGGTGAGAAAAGGGGGACCACATGAATCAAGTGGAGGGAAAAAAACGTTCCCCCTCTAAAATGCCTGATCCTGGTTACTTTTGATTACATAGTGCTCAGAGTATCTATTTCACTTAACGGCCTCGTGAGCGGAGGGGGGGGGGGGGGGGCATGTCACCGCAAGGCGAGCATCCTCATAAACAAACAATCACTGTCCTTTTCACAGAGCTCCTTTCTTATTCTTTTCTTTGCTTCCTCTGCAAAGGGGAAGGCAGGGTGAATGAAGGGGGATGAGAGGGCTGGGGGGGGTTACTTACCCGACACAAACCTCTACAAACTTTAAAATAAGAAATCAAAAGCAATGAGGTAAATGGATTAACTACAAAAAGTTTTCTGATCACTTTTCACGTACACCTGAGAATAATTGTATTTTTTTTTGGGGTTGTTTTAGTATTTAGTTGGACCCTGGAATTGAAAAGTACTGTATGCCTTTAAACCAATATCTGCACCTGAACAATTTTATTGCCAGAACATGAAGTCCTTATTAAAACAAAAAGGTCAGGGGCGCTGGTGGCGCAGTGGTTAGTGCGCGTGTCCCATGTATGGAGGCTATGCTCCTCCAAGCGGGCGGCCCGGGGTTAACTCCGCCTGTGGCTCCTTTCCTGCATGTCATTCCCTACTCTCTCTCCCTGATTTCCATCTCTATCCACTGTCCTATCTCTCAATTAAAGGCCCAAAAAGCCCCAAAATAAATCTTTAAAAAATAAAGATTAAAAAAAAAAGGTCAAAGGAAGACAGGAAACAGAGGACCCAGTTATTGGTTTACTGCTGCAGGCATCGATGACGGCACTGACTAGGGCCTCTATCGTTCGTTGATGTCTTGTATCGCAGCAGCAGCAGCGGGGAATATTTCCAGAGGCAATTCAGGACACAGGTTGAATAAAATGAGAAAATGTGTCTAAGAGCAGTGTGCCACACTGTTTTGTTTTGTTATGATGGCAGGCTGGCCTCCACTGGCAGAATAATCAAGGGTGTGTCCTTAACTTGCTAGTTTTTCTCCAACTGTCTTGGTGCACATTTTGTTTTTGTTTCTCCCACATTTCTTAAGTCAAGGTGAAGCATGCACGTTTATCTAAGGGTCCTTCAGAATGACATACCTGGCAATGAAAGCTGCACTAGTCATAAATCACATTAAGCAAAGATTTCACATCTTCATGTCAACCCTTCTGTAAAACCAACAAGATAGGACCTCCAGGCTATTTATTTTACGTTAACACTTGCTATATATGAGATGATATATGAACAGGCACTGGTTTTACATTTCAAGAACTCATACTAGTCTAACTTTAAGGTTTGAGTTACCCTACTGGCTGAGACTCTGAGGTGATTTCAGAGCTAAATGAAGATACTAACAACAAACTGACACACACTGGCAGCCTATCGTAATGCAGTGTCTTTACATTAGAAGTCCTTGCTACAGGTTTATAGATTACCTTCCAAATCTTTATAGCTATCATGTAAATGGCGCAGCCTTTAGCTAATCAAAAAAATCTGCTTGGCTGCATGCAAGCAAACTAATCCCAGGGGGCATCCTCACTCATCGCTCACGGTGCACCAATAGGAAAACACCCATTTACCTTCCTACATCATCAACTGATCAGTGAAGTCAGTCCTCTGTGATTGCATTCAGTCTTGACAGGCCATTACACTAAATGCACAGTGGTATTGAGAGCGCGCTAAATAATGCATCAGGTTATTAGACCCGATCCGTACTCGTTCCAATCTTGGGCACGCAAAGCCAGGAAACAGGTTTTGATTTTTACTGAATGTCTAACTCTTGAGTGATACACATGATGTGTGTATGCAGGAGACAGCATTAATCAAATCTTCCACTGCAGTTATGATGTGAAATATTACACAGTCCTCATGCGTTACACTTGCATAAAGCCTAAGCATAAAGCAGTAACCTTCTGATTTCTGAGTTGCAAACCGAGTTGATGAGCTCTGAGAGGAAACCAATTATTAATTAGTCATCTGACGACTGGTGAATAGAGGCTGCTATGTACCATTAAGAAAATGGAAAGAAGCATATACTACCAGTCTGCTTGTGTATTGTAATTAGACAGTATTAACAGTAAGAGAACAGCTGCCATGTGTTTTAGTGTTGGGGGGGGCATTATGCTTTCCCACTGACTGTGTTTAAAGTTTTTAAGTTTGAAGATCAAGAACTTCTGGAGCTGCTGAACTCCAACCTGTTGTACCGAGAAACACAATCAGGTTGTAGGCAGATCTGTTGTACCATGCAAAAAAATGTAACAATTAGTTTTGTAGAGATATGATGTTAAACTCCAACTAAGCATGCCAAGAGACAAGTGTTGTTGTAGTCTAGGTTATTAAATGGAGTTCTCACACATTTCTTACCCAAGCAAAACCGTAACCCTACAAAAAAGGAGCCGTCTGCCTATTCCAGTCAAGCCAACTTAAAGACAGCGCACAGTTTTATTAAGAACTTTTTCAAAAAAAGGAAAAAAATAATAATTATGTGAATTGTGCTAAAATCTCTTAGTTCGAAATAAGATACATTTGTATTGTCAAAGGTATAAGCAAAAATCTTATCTAAGCTAATCGGTTTGAAAAATAACTTGGGCTGAGACTTTGGATGGAAATTTGTTGCAATGTTTTTTTCATGTTGAAACAATATTGCCATAATTTCAAAATCGTTGTTTCTTAATGATAAAAACAAAAGCTGTGTTTAATTTAAACTTTCAATGTGATAATGCACTGATGGCAGAAATTCAACCAGAAAACACCGAGTAGATTCTATAAACACCGTGTGAATATCCTTTCTAATATCGTATCAAACAAAAACTACACAATGACCCCGTCATAGACAAAAAATGGTGTCTTAAGCAAAACTGTCTGTTTTTAATCTTACACGCCTCAATCTTTACACGCACACACATTATCTTTTATTTAGAGGCTACATGTGTGGAGGAGGCCTCAGCGATAGTGGGGCAGACTCATTGTCGTTTCACGTGTCAGTGTGTCAAAATGTTCTTTAAGTATATCAAAGCAAGAGAAGATAAATGTGTAGAATCATCGTGTGCGAGCAACCTCGGATGTTGCACACATTCCACGTGACGAGGAGAACTACTGAGGGTAATTAAGGTAGCTCATCTCAGCCACATGACTAGTATGAGAAGGAATGAGCTTACACCAACTCAAGGAGACAAATCTCTCTGAACATGAACATGTTCTACCTGAGGGTGGTGGCTGCTTCTTATATTAGGTCAAAAACTTTGAATGTCTTACGCTGGCTGCGTCGCTCATTGAATGTGCTCTGTGTCGTCCCTCAGAGTGTTATAAGAGTATCCGTGGAAAGGGACATTTATGAGATCATTTATCAGGATCTATCAGGGTCATTCCACTTTTATTTAACGCACTATCAAATGTTTTAATAATAATATCAACAACAACAATAATAATTTTAATACTAAGACTTATTATGATCAAGCACTTTTCAAAGACAAGTTACAAAGCACTTTACAATAAAAGCCAAAATAATAAAAACAAATACTTGAATCAACAAATAAGAAGAGCAAATAGACCCAAACAATGATTTATCAATAAAAAACCTTGTAAAGAAGTACAGCTGTGGCCCGTGAATCGCAAACCTTTCGTGACCTGAAGTGTTTATAAACTGCTAGCATTGCCCTGCAGGAGGGTGTAAGGCGGCGGTCAGGCTCATATTGTGAGGCCTGGTCATTTAAGGCTTTAACAACAAGCGGCAATAACATCTTAAAATCAATCACAACTCAAACTCACAGGTAGCCAGTGAAGTGAATCAAAGACAGGTAAAGTTTGGCCAGCTCTCTTACTACACATAAAAAGGCCGGCCAGTGAAGGCATCAGTAGCCTAGTGGTTAGTACGCTCGCCCCATATATGGAGGCTATAGTCCTTCAAGCGGGCGGCCCGGCCTGCCAGCAGCATTTTTTTTTTTTTTTTTACGTATTGGTCTTTGGATGTTCTGTTTGCTGATGCCAGAATAAAGTGCATTACAATAGTTGAGTCAGTACTGCATGACTACAAATCACTTAGCAGACGCTTTTATCCAAAGCTATTATATATCTATGCTACATTATATCTATATCTATGACTGCATAGATATAATGTGGATACCTTCAGTCACTGTTTTTATGTTTTTTTTTATACTTTAATGTTTATTGAAAACATTTTTTTTTATTTTTTTTAATCTAAGCTTCATTTCCTTTGATTTTCAAATACATTGTCATTATTAATTGTGTTTCCTTTCTCTTTGGAATTTGTCATTACTGTAGTACATTTGGATGTTATTTTTTCCCCGTGATCCCAGGAGGAATAGTTTCAACCTTGGATGTAGCTAATAGGGAGCCAAATAAATAAACAAATAACATTGAGTTTGTCACATTGTAGGCACTTTTACTCTGCTTATGTGTCCATTGAACCTCACAACACAGATAGTACAGCTGAGTCAGTTCTCATCTTGTGTGCCGCTTGCATTATGGGGGGGGGGGGGCAGCCCACAGGAGCAGTGATAGTAGTGAAGGAGGAGAGAGGGATGGACGAGAGAAGCAGGCCAGGGAGGAGTCGGGTGGACACTGGAGAGATGGAGTCAAAACAGACAGAGATATAAACATAGATACAGTGAGTAGGGGAGGGGTGACCTCTTTGTTACCCTGAATTTCTGCGTCACAAAGCAGACCCTGCTGCCTGCTGCAGAAATAAGACAAACGTACTACGAGGGACCAACACACAGCAGT